CTAATTTATTATCGTATGTATAAAAGTGCAAACTAAATGTTTAAATCAACTTTATTTACATTATTATGTCTAAATTTACAACAATGTAATTAAAAATTTCAAAAATTACCTTTTATAAGAAATTTTTATATGTCAAGTTTTGATAATGGTGGCACTTTCGGTTTTGAGAATAATGTCAAATCAAAAGGCAACAAAAAGTTAAATTAAGCAAGAAACGAGAAAATTATCATCCAGGTGTTATTAACGCCTGGATGATAATTTTCTCGTTTCTTGCTTAATTTAACTTTTTGTTGCCTTTTGATTGGACATTATTCTCAAAACCGAAAGTGTCGCCATTATCGAAACTTGATAAATAAAAATTTCTTATAAAAAATAATTTTTGAAATTTTTAATTACATCGTTGTAAATTTAGACATAATAATGCAAATAAAGTTGATTTAAACATTTAGTTTGCACTTTTATACATACAATATAAAATCAGATGAATTTTATAATAGATTCTTAAACAGACTTGATACTTTTATGGGACTGAAATTACGACCCCGCAGATAACGACACTCGGTTATAACGTCAAAAAATTGCCGGTCCCATGGATGACATTATAAGCAGGTTAAACTGTAATTTGTTTATTGTAAATCAAAAAACAAGAAAAACCTGAGAGAAATCAATGTATTTTAATGTAATGAAAAAACTGCTTTGAAGTTTAATGAGTGGAGCAAAGTGTTTGGCTCACATAGACAAACTTAGTTAAAGTAATGTTACATCTGTTATCTAAAATATTGGGTTGTTCAAAAAGTAAGTTCGTTTTTTTTCCGTGGAAAAAAACGCAATATTCTTATAATAAATAAATATTTTATTGAAATATAAGTTGACCATTTTGGTCAAATACCTGTTGTCATCGTTTCTGGTAATAGCACAATTTCACATTCATAAAAGTTTTGATCGTTGCCTACAAAAAACCGATTCAAGTGATTTTTGACATTGTCATTTCAAGTAAATGTCTTACAGTTAAAAAAATTGTATAGACTGGAACAAGTAATAATCTGAGTGTGCTCGATCTGGCGAATACGGTTGGTGTGATAGCACGTCCCATCTAAGTTATAACAGTTTCTGACGAGTTACCAAACTTGTGTGAAATTTGACATTATTGTGGTAAAACACTACAGCTTTTTTTTTTTTATCAATTCTGGCTGGCTTTTTCTGTTTGATGATATTACGCAATTTGTTTACTCGAATGCAGTACACTTTCGAATCAATTGTTAAATTGTCTGGTAAAAGCTCCAAAAAAAATTTCCTTAATATCCCACCAAATAGAGCATTTCTCTTTAAGAACTCGTGGAATTCATATATCGAGCTTTGAAACGAAACCAATTTGTTTCAAGTACTCATAAACAGTTCAATTTGACAAATTTAATCTCTTAGTGATTTCACGTGTTGTTATTCCGCAGTTTGCTTCAATCGGTACTTTTATTTTGTTTTCATTGGCTTCAATTGGCCATCCATAACGTGGTGCATCTTCAATACTGAAATTGCGAGAACGAAATTTTGTAAACCAGTTTTGGCACTGTCGTTCTGTCAACACATCTCCACCATACATGTCACACGATTTTTTTCTTGCTTGAACGGCATTTTTATTTTTTTGGTAATAAAAAAGCAAAATATGCCGAAGATGCTGCTTTCGATCTTCCATATTTGATGGGATGCAAAAAATAAACAGTTGAACGAAATCAAACAAAATTTTTTACAAATAAGCCATAAAATGCTAGCTGTCAAAATATATAATGATAATACGGTTTAGAACGAAAATGGAGGGGAAAAATACCACTAATCCGTCTAGTGAAAAAAAAAAAACGAACTTACTTTCCGAACAACCCAATATTTCATACTTTCTAAAGTTATATTAGCATGAACATATTTATACAGATGATAAACATTGTGTTTTATTATTGTGTGGAATGCATTGTTAATGTGAGAATTATGTTTTACCAGCAGATTTTAGTTCATTTTTCTTTTACACTTAAAAGTTAACAATAATCTAAACAGATTCAAATGGCAAAATATCAAAGAAAATGAAAGCAGTGTTCCTTCACAACAAAATTAAAATACAATCTAGTATTTTAATTTTGTCGTAAAGGAACACTTTACAGGAATAAAAATCACCAGCTATAGTTACTCAATCCTTTGTGGTAAATGAATCAACTTTATATTAATTAAGAAAAATAAGATAGAAATTAGAAATGAAGGAATATATTGTTTTTTCCATGAAACAAAAATTGCAAAGCTTGCAAAAGATCCCATTATTGGAAAAAGTCTTAGGTATTGGGACTTCGAAGATCAATCTGAATAGAATGTTGGTTAGCTATGAAAAAGTAAAATGCCTGATTGATCAAGAAGTGCAAGAAATAGCAAAGAAAAACTGAGTTTCAAATTCATACAATGTTTCTGAAAGATGGTTTTTGAATATTTTAAGAAAAAGAATGCTTTGTGTAATGTAACAATTATAGGTAAGAAGTATAAGATTTGAGAGAGGGGGGGAATTGAGGAATGCATATTATGTTACTGGAAACTGTTGCATTATTTTCAAAGAAAGGTAAGATATGAAAATTATGCATTTTTTAAAAGAACAAAAAGAATAAATATGTGCAAGCTATACATATTACTTTAATTAAACTTTTACTATGAAGTAAAACAAATGAAAAATTTCTTTATATGAAAAATATGTTTATTTTCGAATCGTGAATATTTTCAATTCCGTAATCTCATTATTTTTCTTTTGTGTGTTTCCATATTTGTGTAAATTTTTCAGAGCATAACTGTCACAAATATGGAGTTTCTATTGTACTGTACATATAAAATAAAATGTGTTTCAGTAAATTTTCAAAATAAATTATTTAAAATTTTAATCATACTCATTAAATATTTATAACTGATAATGCCAGTCATTGACTTAAATTATATTAGAAGTGTAACATGTATCTATTTGAGATGTAATATGTATTGTATTTGAACTGTAAAATATCATTAGTGGGTCCACCAGGTGGCAATCGTTGCTGATACATCATGGGAACAGTACCTGAGCACTCACTTTGGATATAGCTACTGGACAATAAACATAACATGACGTACTTGAGAAACGTTTAGAGAAAGACAAAAGATTCTCCCATACTGGATTCGACATGTCTGTTCCGTTTACGTTTCAAAATCTTCCTCCTCCCAAATCGATGTTGGTAGGTGATTTGGGAGCAAATTGGAAGAAATTCAAGAAAGTTATCTACTTTATTTGAAGGTGACTTACATAATTTTTAGCAGACTTACATAAGCTATCAATAAATTGTGAGTTTGGGAATTTATGGGATCAACTATTAAGAGATAGAATTGTGAGTGGTATTCGTGATCAGAAGATAAAGGAACATCTACTATGAGAAACAGAGCTATCATTAACAAAGGCAATTGACGTATGCAGAGCCTCTGAACAGACAGAGCTGCATTAAACTCTTGTCGAATCAACCAAAGAATATAGAAGTCAACGTGATAAAAGGAAAATCAAGAGAACGTCTCAGTGAATCACGTGATCATGAAAATAGGTCTAGTGCAGAAACAAAGGACCATCAGCCAGAGAACAATTGACGCAAATATCGAAGACTGGAAAATAAGTTCCAAGGAAGACAATGGAATTGTGGGAGATGTGGTTATAGACATAATAAACTGAACTGTCCAGCAATGGGCAAACAATATAATAAATGCAAGAAATACAATCATTTTGTGAAAGTGTGTCGAAATAACGTGGTAAATGTACTGGAAATGGCGCCAGAGAGTACAAATGACTATGTACTGGCATCACTGGAAAGCAGGGGTAAGAACCTTGATCTAGACTGGTCAGAGACTTTAAGAATTTTAGATTGTGATAAAAGTGTTAGTTTTAAGAGAGATACTAGTGCACACATTAATATAATCCCCGTATATATTTTTGAGACTCTTAATCTAAGAAGACTGCTAAAGAAAACAAATATTACGATTTCAAATTATGGTGGAATTAGATTAAAGGTGTTAGGATCTTGTGATTTAACAGTACAAACTAAGGATAAGGTCAAGGAACTTTTGAATTTTATAATAGTCAAGACAACTGACCAAGCAGCACCTATTTTAGGACTCAAGAGTATTGAAAAACTAAATATACTGCAGAGAAATTGAAATGTATTAGAAATAAAAATGGAAAGTGATTATTTTACTAAATACAGGAATGTATTTGAAGGCATAAGCAGGATCAAAATAAAACCCTGTGAACTTAAATTAAAGGATGATTACAAAGGCTATTGTGGCGCCCGTCGGCTACGGGCCGATTCTGCCGATAGAGGGCGCAAGAAAAATAAACGTGAACTTTGAACTGGTCACTCACTTCCGACCAACAGCCACTGGATACGGACGCTACCAAAACGACTTAAAATCTTCGATCGATGTCGGGCCGTAATATTGTACATTACTGTATATATATGTATATATTGTCAAATAAAGAAAGGGATACAAAAAATCGACTGGACGTATTCTCTACAACATCGGACGATTAGCATAGAGTTTAGGGCACCAAAACTGGTGAGCCGAACAAAGAAGACACGTGCCCCGCAAGGACAATCCATCTCCATCNATAAAGAAGAAAACAAAAGAATAACCATGGATTTAGATGTAGTTTTAAGATGTCATGACTGTGCTCACATTGTTCAGTGTTACGGTTATTTTATTACAGAGTCTGATGTTTGGATATGTATGGAATTAATGGCAACATGTCTGGATAAGTTAATGAGACGTTTAAAATCTCCTCTACCAGAAGAAATTCTAGGGAAAATGGCTGTGGCTGTAAGATAGTTTTTCACTACAAAATGTATTTAATGAAATTTTATGCATTAAAAAATATTTGAATATAAATTTTAGATAGTGAAAGCACTCCATTATTTAAAAGAAGAACATGGTGTTATTCATCGTGATGTTAAACCATCTAATATTCTTCTAGACGAGAAAGGAACTGTTAAATTATGTGATTTTGGAATTAGTGGTCGTTTAGTGGATTCGAAAGCAAAGACACGATCGGCTGGATGTGCAGCATATATGGCAGTAAGTTTTGGCTATTTTTTAGTTATTAATGTAAAGTTTTTTTTATTAATACTAAAAAATCTATATATATAAAAATGAATGTGTGTGCGTGTGTGTGTCTGTCTGTCCTTCATGCATTACCACACCGTTTATCCAATTGTCGTGAAACTTTGGGAAGTTGTTTTAATATACTTCGGCGAAGGTTTGTGGCATAGTATGATTGCCATAAAACTTCGGAAAGTTTTTTAATACACTCCCGTGAAGGTTTTTGGCATAGTACATTTATCCTACGATAGATGGCACGCGTTTTCACGAGCATTCAAGCACAGTGTGTTCGATCGATTTTAAATTGTGAAGACCATTTCCCCCCTTCAAAAAATATCTCTATATATGCATTTGTGAACTGTTATTTACGATATTTGTAATAATTTTTGTTTAATCACTTTATTTCAACTTTCTTTTTTGCTAATTACGTATTTGCTCAAACTTTGTTAAAACCTTAACTGTATCCTGAACAACAACCTAAGTTGTAGGAGGAAATTTGTCTATTTTACTGATCTAGGGATCCCCTTTTCCAAATTTTAATATCAACTCAAAATAATTTAAAAAGACAAATTACAATAAAACGGTTTATTATCCAACTATCAGAAATTTCACGTGCCAAGGAAAAGAGGAAGGAGCAATTAAATAATTAAAATTGTAAAGGATTAAAAAATGTATAAGGACCTTGAATAAGTTCTTGCTGTTTTTTTGTGAAAATTAACACTTTATTTTAAAAAAGTTGTAATAAACACGTCACTGAAAGTATTGTCCATCGCTAGCCACTACTTTCTCTCATCATTCTGGCAGCATTTGAATTCCACCTTGGAAAAATGACACGTCTTTTGAGGCTATCCAAGAATCAATCCATTTTTTTGCATCTTCATAAGAATGGAAGTGCTGCTCAGCCAGGCCATGTGCCATTGATCGGAACAAGTGATAATCCGAAGGGGCGATGTCTGGTGAATACGGCGGGTAGGGTAGGACTTCCCATTTAAGCGTTTTCAAGTATGTTTTCACCGGTTATGCAACATGTGGCCAAGCATTGTCATGTTGCAAAATCACTTTGTCGTGTCTGCTCATATAGTGGCCGTTTTTCCTTCAATGCTTGGCTCAAACGCATCAATTGTAGTCGATAGCAATCTCCCGTGATGGTTTCGTTTGGTTTGAGCAGCTCGTAATAAACTACACCTAGCTGATCCCACCAAATGCAGAGCAGAACCATGGATATTCGGCCTTGCTGACGATGTTGATGTATGACCGGGCTTACCCCACAATTTTCTACGCTTAGGGTTATCGTAGTGTATCCATTTTTCGTCACCTGTCACGATACGATGCAGAAAACCTTTCCTTTTCTGCCGTTGAAGCAGCTGTTCACATGTGAAAAGACAACGTTCAACATCTCTCGGCTTCAACTCGTACGGCACCCAATGTCCTTGCTTTTGAATCATTCCTAATCCTTTTAAACGTTTCGAAACTGTTGTGTGATCAACTCCTAATGATTCTACAAGTTCAGCTAGCGTCTGACATGAGTCTTCATGAAGTAATGCCTCTAATTCCTTGTCTTCAAACTTTTTTGGTGCACCAGATCGTTCTTTATCTTCAACATCAAAATCATTATTTTTGAAGCGTCTAAACCAATCTCTGCATGTTGTTTCTGACAGAGCATGGTCGACGTAAGTCTCAACAAGAATTCTGTGTGCTTCAGCTGCAGATTTTTTTGAATAAAATAGTGCAATAAAATTCCCCACAAATACTCTTTTTTTTGGCACGAAACTAGACATGTTTAACACAATGAAAAAATAAGTTGTTTACACTTCGGTCAAATGACATATACTGAATTTCAAGGTCACTTATTGTACTTCCTTACAGATGCGTCACCATCTAAAAATAAACACACGTGGTTCTGGTAACGCCATCTGTTAAAGAACAGCGAGAACTTATTCAAGGTCCTTATATATAAAAATGGGGAATATCGCACTTCTGACAATCGCTGCAAGTGTGTGGGCTAAATTTGGAGAATCCGTGCTTCTCGCATGGACAACTGTATGTGGCTGGCTCACGCGTCGGAAAACCTTCTGATTTATTTGTGTACGCATCAGACGGAAAAACAAAAAATATCGTGTATCCACGAACACTCCGATAAATAAATAGAATTGAAAGGACACTTTGAAATGTTTTCCCAATGAAAAATAATAATTTCCAATAAAATTGATAAAATGTGAATTGAATTTTATCATAACGAGTTTGCTTGAATTTCCTTTCTTCTGAGATCGCAGCAATGCACGACGGGTAAGCTAGTTTAATATATACATACATGTCCAAAATTTAAGAAGAGATGACATTTGTACTGTACATGAGTAGAGAGAACTGTAGGATGAATATGCTGATAAATATGACAAGAACGGTATTACGTAATATCTAACACAGAGTAATACACAACTTGTAGGATTTTACAAATCAAAGCACTAAAAGTAAGTCTTTGGTAAAGATACATATAGCAGTTGGACATAGGTGGAGAATGAACAGAAAGTGCTTACCAGTACTCAAGCAGAGAGATCTGTCAATATGGAATAGGTCAACCTGGAATTGCAAAGTATCATTCACAACATCATGGCAGGCTTGTCACCAACTGGCTTGGTGACTTTTTCTAGCTATCATTGCTAGAAATTGTGTTCGTTTTTAAGTTTTTGACATTATAGTTTGTTATTATGTAAGTTGCAGTTATCGTAATCATGACTAGATAAAACTTGTCTATAAATCTTATTGATTAAATTTGGCATTAAAATTATGATGATTTTAAGTATTTTCTTTTCTAAATATATAGAAGTTAAAATTGTAAATTTTATGTTATTAATATTAATAAATACTTCAATTAAATTATTTGATTATAATAACTGGTTTTCTCAGTTTCCTAATGTTATAGGGGAAAGTAGGGTAATGCCATGCACATAAGAGAAAACTAAAATAATACAGTCAAATTTATACAAATATCAAAACTTTATTAATAAAATATAAAGTGTAATTTACAGTTTGGCTTTATTTACTTCACATACAAGTTATTTAAAAAATTTTATTAATTTCCAATGCTCTCTGTTAAGCAGTAATATCTGACATGGTCAGGCATTGGCATGCATAGTTTAACTTGAAGATTTACATAGAACAATAATCACAATGAGTATACCTTCAGGAATGATATATGAGTAATGTAATTTACATAAGTAGTGTAATGTTTGCAAATATACATCATTAAATTTTTCATATTAAGAAAATGCAATATGAACTTTTTAAACTTAATGAAATTAATACAAAAAATTTGTTTTTAAAACTTCTGTTTGAGAATATTTTTTGTGATGTAAGCGAAGAAAATCATATTATAGGTTACCTGAATGGAATCAGAATATTGAATTTTATTTGGAATAATATAAATAATTAAATATAATAGAATTAATCTATATATATAAAAATGAATGCATGTGTGTGTGTGTGTGTGTCTGTCCTTTATGCATTACCACACCGTTTATCCGATTGCCGTGAAACTTTGGGAAGTTGTTTAATATACTCTGGCGAAGGTTTGTGGCATAGTACGATTGCCATGAAGCTTTGGGAAGTTTTTTAATACACTCCCGCGAAGTTTTCTGGCATTTACCCTACGATAGATGGCGCGCGTTTACACAAGCATTCGCACACAGTGTGTTCGATCAATTTCAAATTGTGAAGACCATTTCCTCTCCTTCAAAAAATATCTCTATATATGCATTTGTGAACTGTTATTTACGATATTTGTAATAATTTTTGTTTAATCACTTTATTTCAATTTTTTTTGCTAATTACGTATTCGCTCGAACTTTGTTAAAATCTTAACTGTATCCCGAACAACAACCGAAGTTGTAGGAGGAAATTCGCCTATTTTACCGATCTAAGGATCCCCTTTTCCAAATTTTAATATAGACTCAAAATAATTTAAAAAGACAAATTACAATAAAACGGTTTATTATCCAACTATCAGAAATTTCACAACACACCAAGGAAGAGAGGAAGGAGCAATTAAATAATTAAAATTATAAAGGATTAAAAAATATATATATAAAAATGGGGAATATCGCACTTCTGACAATCGCTGCGAGTGTATGGGCTAAATTTGGAGAATCTCTGCTTCTTGCATGGACAACTGTATGAGGCCCACTCACGCGTCGGAAAACCTGATTTATTCGTGTACGCACCATGCGGAAAAACAAAATATATCGTGTATCAAGTACTCCAATAAATAAATACACTTTGAAATGTTTTTCCCATGAAAATTAATAATAATAATAATAAGTTTCAATAAAAATGATAAAATGTAAATTGAATTTTATCATAATGAGTTTGCTTGAATTTCCTTTCTTCTGAGATCGCAACAATGCGCGACGGGTAAGCTAGTTAAATATAAAATTGAATAGTTAAAATTTTATAAAACAAAATTATAAATGGACAGCTCATAAAATTGACAAGATCAAGAAAACTATTAATTAATAAAGAAAAAATTTATAAACTTGACAAATCATATGCAAAAGTTCCTGTTTTCATTATTTTTTAAATCATATTAACCATTAAAAAATCTTGCTTATGTCAGTTAAAAATAAGTGCAGACTTGTAAAATTATGTAAAATTGTGTTTCTGTAAATAGAAACATACAAATGTTAATCAGTTTTTTACCATTTTATTTATATTTTTCGCCCACCAGTGGCCGAGTGGTCTTCGTACCCTAAACACTGGGAGTTCGGTCGTGGGTTCGCGCCGCGATCGGACAGGCTGGCTGCTTGGAGTTTTCCGGGTTTTCTCCTTGCCAATAACGACTAAATAGGAGGCCAGTTCCCCATAAAAGTCCTCCCGGAAGGCATTAGTTCCCCTCGCGTAACATCGCGCCCCAGAGAAGGCAACGGGAAACCACTCTGGGTAGTAACTTTCCCTAGTATACACCTTGGCGGGTTACAAACCTACGACAGGTGTCGCCGACGTCAGGAATCTGATATGGCACCAAGAAGAAGATTTATATTTTTCATATAAATTGATTTTCTATATTCAGATATTTTTTATGAAAATAGGATATAGCTTAGATATCTAATTTATTGTGGTTTAAATTATTTCAGCCTGAACGAATAGATCCACCTGATCCAAGTCAGCCTGATTATGACATTAGGGCTGATGTCTGGAGTTTAGGTATCTCATTGGTAAGTAGTTTTAATGAAATTTTTTAATACAGTTGATAATTTAATTGATATTTAATCAAGCACTATATAGTTTCTAATTTTATTCTATATAATCTGTTATTGCATTCATCTGTACTCAAGGTGTCCAATAAACCTGGAAACTGGGAAATGTCAAGGAATTTATTAGATCAGAGAAAAGTCATGGAAATCTCAGGAAATTTGGTATTAAACCAGGGAAATGAAAAAGAAAAATTATTATTGTAGAACATATAATGCGTTGTATGATAGAAAAGGTAATGACAGAAGTGATTTGAATGCACACATTGTTGTTTCACTTGACAAGGATGATGATTTAAGATTGTCATTCATGCAGATTACAAATTTAACTATAATAATTACAAATTTTTAGTCTTATGTTGCAAGAAAGAACAAAAATTTGAATTATGTGACTTTAAATTGTTTTATGACAAAAGATTAGCTTTTTTTTTTTTTTTTTCAGTCATAAATAGCTTATTTATAAGCATTGTCTTGCATGATTCATTGAAAAGCAATTGGAAACCTTAAAGATCAGCAGGGTTACCATCTGTATGATGATATCATATTTGTATGATGTACAGTACAATAATGGGATTTTGTATGATAATTTCAGAAATATGTCTTACTCCCAAAATAACCATTAATTATTGAAAAAATCCAAATCGCAATAACTATTTTTGTGTGTATCATCATCTCATTGATATTGTGTTTTTTTTCTTCACTAGAAGGCTACTGAATTTTCAGAAGTTTTTGTTTAGATACTATTGTATATTCTCAATTATAAGGTGCTCTTTTTTCGTACTTTTCAATACTGCTAACTGCTACACTTTTAGACTGACTGATAAAATACTCAAATTGATGTGCAAAGAAAATTTGTACAAAAACATTCTGTCAAAATGCCATTATGCTTCTACTTGTACAAAATATAGGTACTCCATGAATATATTTAATTATAGAGTAGTTTTCATCTAATGAGTTGTCTAGAATTGAGGCTATTTTGAATAAGGTAGCATTTCTTAAACAAGAGTGTTGCATCACTCAAGTAGTGGATTAAAGATTTTAGTCACAAAAATTTGGAAAAACTAAGGTTTATGCATATGAAATAAGTATGTAAAGAAAGGAATGTATTACATATTTGTTAATTTACAATATTTGTTAATGCTTGATATTTTGAAATTGTATGAAAAAACATAAATTTTAGATTATATCCATTTAGAGGTTTGTTTTGCATCATATATTATAAGGCAGTCATAAAAATTTCATTGTAAAATGGGGTCTAAAAATTTTTTTGTTGAAAGAAGAAGGTGCAGATAAAAAGTTTGAGATTCTGACATAGGGGAACCTACTTTATATTTCTACAGAGAGACTGTGTAATTGTAACAGATCAAGATGGGTGTACAATAATTTCAAGGTGCAGATAAGATAATTTCCTCCTTTAAGGTTTGCAATCTTGGATAGCAGTTAGTTTCTTTTGGAGGTCCAATTGCAACTGGTTTCTGAGTAAATGGTATGTAGAATTTGACTACAGTATCAACAATGTTTGCACTTTATGGTGATTGCAGGATTTGGAACCAGTTCACTATTTCAACTAAAAGTCACATTTTTGTATATCATTATGTTTGCAAAATGTCACTAAGTCTGGAAAGAAGTTGTTACCATATTTATTCAATATTAATGTGCATCCTTTTCGACCTCTTGAGAGCTGAGAAATGAAGTGCTAATTAGAATCGAAGTATAAATGAGGAGCTCGAAAGTAAAATGTATTAAGTGACAGTATCGTTTCCAATATTATAGCATGTTAAACCTGTTAACTGTAATTTGAACAGATTTCACTATGATTAATTGATTTTACATCATTTGAGTATCACCCATATATTGAAATTTTGTTGATTTTAATAGTGAAATCTATTTACATTAACAAGTTTTACATGCTATAAATTTTTAATGTATAGTTACTAGACAATAAAGATAGATTTAATAAACCCAGTGGTGGAGTGGATAAAATCACTGGTAGTTGGCCATAGGTTTATGCCTGGCCAACAGGCTGACCAAGTGAAGTTTTCTGGGTTTTTTTCACATTAGTAACACCTAAATAGGTACCAGTTTTCCATTGAAATTCCTTCTCGGAGGCATCCCCTCAGCAGATGGCCCATGTATTACGTTGTTGTAACCAAATAAACCAAACCAAACCTAGATTTCATAAAAACAAATGATTTTTTTAAATGAAAACATAGACCCTGACGAATCACTATTTTTAAATTACATAATTTTTCTCAACTATTTTGGTGATCTATCAGTATTTCTCTCTTTTCTGCTGTTGGGAGGAATGTGGCATTTTTTATGCCAAATTGCCATGTGTTAGCCTACATCTTTAATTAATGTTTGAGATCTTAAATTGCATCATGGATGACTGTTCTCTGGCTGTTACACTTTGAAAATTTCAAGTTATTTCATTTATGAGGCTTGAGTAGTGATATATGGTTATCCGTACCCGTGGGTACCCATTTAAAAATTGCATGTATAAAATGAAAATTGTAAATATGCAAAGTGATTTTAAAATATGATCAGTAAATATTTTTCCTATAATTTAATCTGTTCAGTAATTTTTAGTTGAACATTTCTTTAATGAATTATCATTTTGAATTTTTCAAAGATTAATTTGCAGACAAAAATTTTAATTAGCTGAATAAATCTTTCTAGAATTATGGAGTTATTACAGATATTTAAAAATTATTAAGATAATTAAAACATATTAAAAGGAAAATTTATTATTTTTCATTAATAAATCCATTACAAAAGTATAAATGTATTAAATTGCTCTAATAAATTTTACAAATTTTATAAAGTATTAATAAACTGGAATAAATTTAATCAGAAATCATTTTGTTACACAATCAAAATTAATAAAATGAAAATTGGAAAGTGATGATAGAACTGGTACCAATGTAATTTAAATGGTACCAGTTCTATCATTATTTTCCAATTTTAATTGTTCCAAATTATTTTTAATTTTCTTTGAACTAAGTTTTTGGACTAGTTCATTAACAGTAAGAGGTTTGAAAAGAAAAATACTCTACTTCGGTGAAAAAAATTTAATCTATATTAGTTTATTAGATCTCTCAAATTTATAATTTTTCTGAAAAAATGTTTTAAAAATTTAAATATATCAATTGATATTACATTAGGGACTCTGTAATACTTTAGCCTGATTAATTTTAAATGTTTTGAGATTATCATCTGTGTTGAATTTTTATAATAATTTTTCACATAAGCAATTAATATTAGTCTTAAAATTGTCATTTAGAATATTTTTTTAAAGTAAAAATGTAAAAATAATATGTAAAAATTGTAATAGTTAAAGCAGTTATGGAATTTTAAAATTACAACTCGTAACTCCGTAAAAGTAAGTGTTTGTATTAATTGTTGGAAAATGAAAATAAAAAATACAGTGTGTGATATATGTAGAAGTTTGATGCATGCAGTTAAATGGCTGGGATTCAAAAGCATCAAAATTTCGAAATGCAAATTGTTTGAGCACAGCTTTCGTTCTTATTTCTAAATGCAGTCTGTTTTTATCCTGAGGAAGGGCATTTAAAACAACTGAAAACGTTAGAAAAATTAAAATTTGCACTGCATTTAAAGGTGTGTGTGGTTATTTTTTGTAGTTTATGATGAATGCAGTTTTACTGAATAGTTTAATTTAAAATATATGCTCTCCACCTCACATTAGTAGTGTCTTGCTGCCATACATCATACTTTCCTGCTAGCAATAGTCTCTCTCTAACTCCTTTCAGAGGAAATTTTTGAATGTAAATTGGAAGTCTCACTATTTCAATCGGACATTCATATATAGTTAATCGGGACCTTCTGACCTTAAGCTTTCCATATCTGGTCTCGGCTTTGATTTACCTAACTTTGTTCTTCAGATTTAGGAAGGACAGATAGATAGATGGGTGACAGTTAGAATTTATATGTGTACAGTTTTGGAAATTGCAGCTTAGTAAAGGGAATTGAACTGCCTTACATTTGTGAGTTTATTTGGTAACATCAAATAACATAGCTACAACCAACAGACTGCCGAAAATCTATCGGGCTAGTTTTATGCTAATTATTAAATAAATTACATAATCAATTTGGTACTAGAGGTAAGCGTTAGGCGCCATCTCTTATTAATATTAATAATTATAAATAATTTTAATTAATTTAAATAATTTGGAACCGCTGGGAGAAAAAATCGGCCCGGAGCGGGACTCGAACCCACAACTCCTGCTTACCGTGCAGATGCGTTGCCAGTTACGCTATCCGGACCTCCGANAACGCATCTGCACGGTAAGCAGGAGTTGTGGGTTCGAGTCCCGCTCCGGGCCGATTTTTTCTCCCAGCGGTTCCAAATTATTTAAATTAATTAAAATTATTTATAATTATTAATATTAATAAGAGATGGCGCCTAACGCTTACCTCTAGTACCAAATTGATTACGTAATTTATTTAATAATTAGCATAAAACTAGCCCGATAGATTTTCGGCAGTCTGTTGGTTGTAGCTATATTATATATCGGGTTGGAGATGTTTGTATAAACATCAAATAAACTGAAAACTGTTTTTAATTTCTACAGTTGAGTTGTTTTCAGCCAGTCTGGGAAAAATTCATGTTTTCATCCTGGAAAATCTGGAAATATCAGTGAAATTGAAAATTGTTGGACACTGGTACTTCATATTTTTACATTAATTCCATTATATATTTTGTTGTTTGCTTAATGTTTTATTTACTGGTCAAACTATTTTATTACTAAAATTTTTTTTGTAAATTCTAAAAATAAATAAGATCATTTCGAGATTAAAAACAAGTAAAACTACTCTTTCTTTTAACCGTGTTTAACAAAGACCAAAATATATCAAAAAACCAAATCGAAGTCACAGGTGTCGTTTAAAAGCTATTGTGTACTTGTCCAAGACCAAAACTTTACATAGGAGAAACAGGAAGG